TGTTTCCTAATAAATTCAAGATGATGATTTTACAGGAAGAATGTTTTAAATTAGCATTTAAAATGTTCCACTTCAGCCTACTTAAAACAGTTGGATGAATGTGAAAGTAGAATAATCAAGGCCAAGACAGTCGGGCTTGATGCAACTACGTTTTCTGTGGATTAATGGAATAAAAGAAAAGGTACACACTACCAGAATATGCAACAATTCAAAATCGCATCATGACAGAACATAACAAGCATCTACTAAACCCTATACCTATCTTCAAAAATATTCATGTAGTTTTTACAGCTCTTAAGAGTTTTACAACCAAAGCAGAACTGTAAGATATTCCTGAATAAACACATTTTTAACCTTGCAGTGATGCAATATCTTTAGCAGGTGTTGGGTTTTGTGACAGCATCCATATCATATCAAACTTGAAAATGTATGTCAAATGAACTGCTTCCAAAGAACACCAACCCAGCAACATCAGGTTTCACCTCTCTCATAGGACAATTCAGAGCCCTATATTTCTGTGCCTTTACAAATATGAGCTTTTAAAAGCAATGTATTTCATCAGGCCTGCTCACTTCTCTATTTAGCTAGTTCTGTTACAGTTAAACTGTAACAAGGATTTATACCCTATTTGCTCCAAAAACTAAACCTGAAAATCGAAACCAAACAAATGGGACAGTGACCTCTGCTCGGCAGATAAGGCCTGATAATGCCCCCAGCAGCAGGGGGCTGAAGTCAGCCCACCAGATGATAGCAATGGGATAAAACACTTTGTCTTTTCAAATTTCCCCAACACATGCAGTCACATGCCATAGTATGACATCGGCAGCTGATGTGAGCTTGCCCAGTGCTGGAAACAAAGCTATCATTGTATTCTTATCACTAATGGGTCCCAGATAAATGAGGCAGATTTCATTAGAGGACAGAGTCACAGACTAACAGAATGCTTCATTGTTAAGCCAAGGTTTTATCTATTTACAGGCAGGCTTATTTATCCTTGCGTAGACTTAACAATACATAATTGAGCCACAATATGGAAATTTTGGCCATAATCCCAAAGGCATCAACAAAGAGGCACAAACAAACAGCACAACAGTGAGAGGGAAGACAGAATCCCTGGCCCTCTCCACTGAAGTTCTTCGTGTTGAGTGGTATCTTCAGGCCCTTTAGCAAATAGCAATTGCTCTATTAGGGACTGGAGTCACAGGAGAAATGTGGTGCCTCTGTCCAAACTTCAGGTCTTCAAAAGCAATGCTCAGCTCCCACCTAGCCCTGGCAACATCTGTATCCCCTGACACCTCAGTCTCTTGTAACAAAGTTCTCCTAATAAAAAAATATATGCTTGATAATAAGGACTTGATTATGTCTTGACTGGATTTGGCATCCAGTCTGCAGCTGCTGGATGTCTAGCTAGATTCCTGACATCTGAACAGCAATAAGGCATTCAGAGAAGTGACTTGTCACAGCTCCCTTACCAGATCCTACCCACAGAAGACCATGACTTATGTTCCATTTCTAGTTCCTGTATGTGTGTGAATTATGCTATACCAAGTAAGAGAGCTCTCAGCCTTCCATATTTCAAAATTACTTAAGAACTGCACTTGGACCTTCACAAACTGGACAAGTATTCTAACTTCCAGCATGTGGGATCAAGCCTGGGAAACACACTTTTAATGACAGGCTAGCATTGCAGAAAGAGCAAATTTCCCTGACTGTTCCCCAAAGCAGAGGTGAAGCTGATAAAACTCAGCCCAGTCAGAGCTCTGCTTGCTGCTGTCAGCCCAATACTCTGCTCAAGACAGCTGGGAAAGCTGAAGAGCAGAATAAGTGTCAGTGAAAAAAATTTCAGGTGTCAACATCACCCATATTTGTTCATCACAGTTCCTTTTGCAGATTGGCCAAGGGCTGAGTCTTTTTGTTTGGATAAGAAAAACCTTTTATCTTCCTGGAAATACACTGCCTTAGGCCTGACTTTGGGGTTTAGGCTGAACAAATACATAGGGTTGCAAGGTATTTTGGTGACCCAGTTATGGCTCTCTACTGCATATCCATTTATAAAACAGTAAGTCATGAAAGAGTAGCAAAATTGGTAAATTATCTTTCTTGAATAATAGACTTGAAAATGAATCTCATATTTTCCTGATGTTTTAGGGCATTAGACCTTCCTTGGACCTCAGCCAAGCAGGTACTGCTACTGCTGTGATCACTGTATTAAAACAAACAAAAAAAAACATGCAATTTTGTCCAGAACAATTCAGGCACTAGCCTTCTAAATTCACAAGCAAGTGAATTTAACAATAAGCTCATAATCTGCTCCAAAATCTTAAATTTTCTTCTTAATTGGATATGGACCCAGAAGTAGTTCTCCGCAGCAATGCTCCTCAAACTCAGCCCGTACAGGGCCGTTCCAGCAGAACGACCTTACACACAGCACTGCATCGAGCCCGGCTCGGCCTCCGGGCTGTCTTAAAACTGTAACTGCTTACCGGCGTCTGGTTTCCACTGGGACTCAGGACAAGCCTGGATTCAAAATGCGTTCCTTCCACCGCCCCAGCCAGGAGGAGTGTCTGGACGAGATAAAAGGCAAATTACTCCCAGAGATTGTAAAACATGCACTCCAAACAGCAGTTCTTCAGGATACCTGCTGAACCTACTCAGCGAACATGCACAAGCACCCGCCCGTCCGAGCTCCCTGCTGCAGAAGAGACGCTGGGGAATAACCCCTGCACAAACTCCCTGGAGCAGCACGGCCGGACACTCCAGCGCGTTTCTCGAGTGTCCATCGGTCCGCCACGCACCTTCCCTCTGCCCTCCCGGCAAGACCCACAACCCCGCCGAGCCCCCCGCCCCAGTACCGTGTGCTCCGTGTGCTCGGGCCGCTCCGCCGCCACAGCGCCCGCACCGCCCGGGCAGCGCCGCCACACGGCCCGCCTGCCCGCCCGGCCCCCTCCAACACGCCGGCCCCCGGGAGGCGGCCGCTCCTCCCCTCGGCTGCCTCCGCGGCCGGGCTGTGTCCACTGCCAGCCCCGCAATTGGAGGACAGCCCGGCCACAGCTGTCCCGGCTTCCCGCTGTCAAGCTCCATCCCTAAGCCCTACGACCAGGGCTGACGGAAAAGCCGTCTCGGCCCTGTCCCTGGAGTCTTGTGGAGCGGCTGTGTGTGTTGCAAAATGCGGAATATGTAAACATTTTCCAACAAAAGGATGTTCTCTGATGTTTGATCTTTCTACCCTTTCAAGCCTAATCAACAGGAAAGGAAATTTAATCCATGAAACAGGTGGCAGCTAAGAAGCCACCTCTAAGTGAAAGAAAAATTACTTGTTGGTAGAATGGCCTTGTTAAGGTTTAGGGCCCAGCAGGTTTCAGTGATCTCAGACCTATGCAGGGTGTTAGCAAAGCTTGGAAAGAAGGATGTTCCACTAATAGTGGATACAAAGAATGCAGAATTTATGGGCCACAAGGACATCTGGCAGAACTCCCGAGATAAGGAAGAAACTAATAAAGACAATTTAGTGACTGTGCTGAATCAGCTCCAACTGGGTAAAAGGTAAGTCTGGCAGGGGGAGATCACGACCACCAACTCATGGTCCCCTGAGCCAAGAAACCCACTGACCCAAAAGAAGAGGGAGACTGAACATCTGGACTAGTTAGCAAGAGAAGTGAGGGAATCAGTAACCAGTAGAAGATGAAATAATAATGATTAGGAGAACCATGTAACTTATAGACAAAGAATATGAATGCCTTTGATTGCTAAAGTGTATAAATAGTAAAAAGTGTTGACAGTGAATGTACTTGCTTTGTGGAATACCAGCGAGCACCCAGGCTTGCACAGCTCTGAAATAAATGATCCAGGTCTCTCTCGATCATGTAATTATTGGCCAGTTGCACACCGGGTAACAAATCCAGTTTTTCTGAGCAGCATTTCCCCTGGGCTGGTTCTGAGGTGGCTGCACCTCAGGGACATGGCCGGGTCAGGAGCAGGCAGGCAACAGGCTTGGAGGCCCCCGAGGCGGCAGTGGGGTCGCAGGGATGTTGTGACTGGGGAGAGGCCGGGGCTGCAGCCCCATGAGCGGGTTGCCAGGCAATTGGTGTGCTGGGGGCTCTGGCTCTGCGTGTCCCAAGGGGGTCTGTGCTCAGGATCCTGGAACTGCCAGGCCAGGCCTGTAGACTGCACAGCACAGAGTCGGCAGCCACGCCCCAAGTTACTGCCTTGAATTTCTGACAATGCACAGCAGCTGCAAGTGCTGCCTGAAAGCCTCAGTGAGGAGGGAGAGAAATCGCTCGTGCAACACCTCTGTTTCATACATGCTTTCCTGCAGAAAAACGCTGGGGTTTACTCCTTTTTTATTCCTTTTTTTGATAATAAGGACTGATGGCAGATGCATGGCATTTCTTTTAAAGATACAAGTTTTAAACTTCACAGTTAGTGACAAGCACACTCAATCAAGTCTGCAAACTGCTTTTAGCTGCTACAATACACCTTTAGTTAAAGGAAATATTCGTGAAGCTGTAATATGTCCAGTCACAAAACAGAGGTGCAATAGGATCTCTGGTCCCAGCGTCCTCCAAGTGAAGCTCAGGGGAAAGCCAAATCCTAACCTGTCATCCCTATCTAACCAGAACCTGCATGCTTTTCCTGGCATTTCCCAGAACAAATACATCACCCACTGTTTGGGCTAAACTTTCATCATTTTCCAGCAATTCTTAGGAATGCCAGAACCAGAGAGCCCTTAGGCATGTAAGTAGCATCAAGAAGACAATTAACATCCTGGGCGTGAGTGTCAACAGTAAGACTTTTTTTCAGGTATTCTCTTTAGTAACTTAAGATATCTTGTGTTGTCCAATCTACTCCCTAATCAGTGAACTATTCCATCTACTGGTATGCTCGTATAGATTTCCCTTGGAAGTATTTGCAGTAGGCTCAAACCAGTTCTGTAGCTAAGGAAAGAGAGATCAAAAACCTTTCCACTCTTTTCATTCATTCCTTTTGCCACTATCAGCAAACACAGTGAAATGTGGCTTTAGGCTGCTGCTCAGGAGAAAATTGCCAGCACTTTGGGTACATCTTCTGGTCGCACTGGTGATTTCCTCTGGCTGCCAGGCTGCAGGAATTTCTTTATTGTAGGGATATTGCTTATTCTTGCTTTAAAACGCTACAAAACAAAACCAAAACAGCACTGTGCTTAAGAAGCATTGTAACTGTAAGACATTTTGATGTTATCCAACCTCTAAAAGTAACATCATGCATTGATGCTGCAGAAGAAACTACAGGCTTCCCTCTATTATGCATTTGTGGCTGCAAAGTCAGAAGGTGGCCATACTCAGCAGTGTTTGAGGACAGCTAAAACTACTTAGGATATTTGATAATTTTGGATGTCACTTCTCACCCTCCCACTCTCCCCTGATTCTCAGCCAGTTTAAATCAGCGGTCCTTTCCAATTCATTGTCCATTAAAACTGTCCATTCATTTACCTGCAAGAGAGGAAATTTGGCAAGTATATCAGGCTTGAACTCTTCTGCCATCAAAAGGATTTCAAGTAACTGCACATCTGCCCTGCTTAACTGGTTGCCAACAAGAAAGTCTTGTCCATGGTCTTTCAAAACCTAAAAAGAGAGAAGCAGATGATGTTTTGATTGTTGCTTAATATAATATTTTCAAAGCAAGGTCATAGATTATACACTTGTCCTTGCCACACACCTTCTCAAAGGCTGGGAAGTATCTGTTTGCGGCCTTGTCCATCATATTAGCAAAAAGTTGCTCCTTTTTATCTGCTGGTTCGAAATCATAGTTCATGAGTAGCTCATTCAGATCAAACATTCCTTCCACATACATATCGATTCTGAAAAGAATAGATCCAGTTGGTCAAGACAAACACAGTAGATCTGAGTGCCACAATAGCTATTGGCATAAACCTGCTGAGGTGCTGGGAAATCTCCACCTTTTCTATCTCACATCTATAGCTTGGAGTAGTTCCCTCCAGAATGCAGTTGCATCAAGGGACAGGGGAGGCGCTTGGGTGGAAGACAAATGCAAAGTGCCTAATCCACCCCTAAACACTGTCCCCCTTCCACTTCTCGCTAGAGGTGATACTTCTCTGAACTATGTTTTTTTTTGAACCTGAGTACAAAACTGGCAGGTGTGTCATCCAAACTTGTGTTAGAAATCCAGTCAGACATGGTAAGTTTAACAGTGGGTCTGTGCAACTTTTTAACAAATATCTTCACATTTCTTTACCATTCCTTATTAATTGGAAACATTTAAAAATACCTCAGGTCAAACCATGTGCCCTAAGAGTTCTGTTGTTAAAGAACCAGTTACTAATCCTAATGCAATTCTAATAACTGGCTGTTGGAAAGCAGGGGTTTTTTGTCTCCCTGTGTCTGATGTGGTGAAAATGCCTGTTGTGACATTCTGCAGGAGAAACTGAACAGGAGCAACAGGGAGGCAGTCTGCACTCCTGACTGCCTTCTTCTGAGAACTGTATTGCCCCTGGATTGATTGATGACTGATGAGCTGCCTTGCACCATGCTGCCCATCTAATCTAGCTGGCTATCACTGCCCTAGACATCACCTGCAGTCACAGTCTACACATGCTGCGTGAAGAGCTGTTCTATCACCCTGACTTTAGCCGAGAGCTGGGATATTCTTGTGTGACACAGAGCTGCAGTGTGAACTGCGGTCTAACAAGAAAACGTGGCACTGTTACAGTACAGGGCTCTCTCCTTCAGGTCCTTCCCATAGAGGTTGTACTTCGTTGCTATGTAGTTGGCAATGGCTCTGGTCTGCACCATCTTCATGCCGTCAATCTCCACCATTGGCACTTGCTGAAAGAGCAGGGATCCATCTAGGGAAAAGGGAAAAGGAAATAAGAAGACACTCAGTCTCTAAATGAGAACCATGAGTGGTTTCATTTAGAATCATTGAATCAACTTCTTGAAGATTCTCCAGATTTGAGCAAGCTCCCAAATGCAGAACTTGTAGCTTTCAGGCACTGTAAAAGACATGTGCTACATGGCCCTAACTCAGATGATTTTTGTGGAGAGTGATACAGATGAGAAGGACTGAAGGATGTGATGCAGCAGTTTCTGTCATGCATTGGTACGTATTATGGAAATCTGGACAATTTAAGGACTTTTCAGCATATAATGCAAATAAAAAAGCATACTATGTCTTTGTGGCTTCTATGTTGACTTTGCTGCACAACAGCATCTCATCTGTAGGTGGCAGGGGGGCCAAGTGATTATTCCTAAAGGAGAGCAGGACTGCAAATGCCAACCCGAGCTCAGCCTTTTTTCAAAAGCCAAGGGAAGAGCACAGACATGTAATATGCTTTGGAGGAAATGTGAATATCATGTTCATAAAGATGAAAGCTGAAGCTAGAAGATGAGTAGTTGCCTTGGGAAACAGGAATGCATCAGAGGTACAGGTTAAAGCCAGAAATCTGGAACTCTGTTTTCATGCAGATTATAAAACAACAACATTGTAGGCCACCTAAAATCATAGGATCATAGAATTAACGGGGTTGGAAGAGACCTCCGAGATCATCAAGTCCAACCCTTGATCCAACCCCACTCTGATTACTAGACATGGCACTCAGTGCCACATCCAGCCTCATCTTAAAAACCTCCAGGGATGGTGAATCCACCACCTCTCTGGGCAGGCCATTCCAATGCCTGATCACTCTCTCTGTAAGGAACTTCTTTCTAATATCCAACCTAAACCACCCCTGACAGAGCATAAGCCCGTGCCCTCTTGTCCTATTGCTGATTGCCTGGGAGAAGAGACCAACCCCCACCTGGCTACAACCTCCTTTCAGGTAGTTGTAGAGAGTGGTAAAGTCACCTCTGAGCCTCCTCTTCTCCAGACTAAACAACCCCTCAGCCTCTCCTCACAGGACTTGTGCTCAAGTCCCTTCACCAGCCTGGTTGCTCTTCTCTGGACCTGCTCCAGTACCTCAATATCCTTCCTGAACTGAGGGGCCCAGAACTGAACACAGCACTCCAGGTGTGGCCTCACCAGCACTGAGTACAGGGGAAGGATCACTTCCCTGCTCCTGCTGGTCACACTGTTCCTGATCCAGGCCAGGATGCCATTGGCCTTCTTGGCCACCTGGGCACACTGCTGGCTCATGTTCAGCTTCCTGTCAATCAGCACCCCCAGGTCCCTTTCTGCCTGGCTGCTCTCCAGCCACTCTGTGCCCAGCCTGTAGCGCTGCAGGGGGTTGTTGTGGCCAAAGTGCAGGACCCAGCACTTGGCCTTGTTGAACTTCATCACATTGGAATCGGCCCAACTCTCCAGCCTATCTGGGTCCCTCTGCAGAGCCCTCCTGCCTTCCAGCTGATCGACACTCCCTCCCAACTTGGTGTCGTCTGCAAATTTGCTGACGATGGACTCAATCCTCTCATCTAAATCATCGATAAAGATGATAAACGGGACTGGGCCCAGCACTGATCCCTGGGGGACACCACTGGTGACCGGCTGCCAGCTGGATGCAGCCCCTTTCACCAGCACTATCTGGGCCCGGCCCTCCAGCCAGTTCTTAACCCAGCACAGAGTGCCCCTGTCCAAGCCATGGGCTGCCAGCTTTTCCAGGAGTATATTATGGGAGACAGTGTCAAAGGCTTTGCTGAAGTCCAGATAGACACATCCACAATCTTCCCCTCATCCACCAGGCAGGTCACCTGATCATAAAAGGAGATCAGGTTGGTCAGACAGGATCTGCCCCTCCTAAACCCATGTTGGCTGGGTCTGATCCCTTGTCCATCCTGTAGCTGCTGTGTGATTGCACTCAGAATGATCTGCTCCATAACCTTGCCAGGCACTGAGGTCAGGCTGACAGGCCTGGAGTTTCCTGGGTCCTCCTTGCAGCCCTTTGTGTAGATTGGCGTGACATTCGCCAACTTCCAATCATCTGGGACCTCCCCAGAGAGCCAGGACTGTTGGTAAATGATGGAATGCGGCTTGACAAGCTTTTCTGCCAGCTCCCTCATCACCCTAGGATGGATCCCATCTGGTCCCATGGACTTGTGTGGATCCAGGTGGCTCAGTAAGTCACTGACTATTTCCTCCTGCAATACAGGGGGGCTGTTTGGCTTCCTGTCCCTGTCTACCAGCTCCAGAGGACAGTTGTCCCAAGGGCCACCTGTCCTACTGGTGAATACAGAGGCAAGGTAGGTGTTAAGTACCTCAGCCTTCTCCTTATCCCTGTTAACTATGTTCCCCCCCAAGTCCAACAAGGAATGGAGGTTTTCCTTGCCCCTCCTTTTGTTATTAATGTATTTATAGAAGCGCTTTTTGTTATCCTTAACTGAAGTAGCCAAATTGACTTCAAATTGCGCTTTTGTCTCTCTAATTTTCTTTCTGCATGACCTAGTTATACTCCTAAACTCATCCTGAGTAGCCAGCCCTATTTTCCACAGTCTGAAAGCTCTCTTTTTATCCCTGATTTCCTTCAGAATCTCCCTGTTCAACCAAGCTGGTCGTCTACCTCGCCGGCTTGCCTTTTGGCACACTGGTCCTGCCTGTTCCTGTGTACTCAAGACTTCCTTCTTGAAGCATGTCCATCCCTCCTGGACCCCCTTGTTTTCAAGGGTTTTTCCCCAGGGTATGCTCTGGACCAGTCTTCTGAACAGGCCAAAATCTGCCCTCCAGAAGTCCAGTGTAGAGGTTTTATTGGTGGCCTTCCTTGTGTCGCTGAGTATTGCAAACTCTATTATTTCATGGTCACTGTGGCCCAGACAGCCTCTGACCACCACATCTCCCACCAGCCCCTCTCTGTTTGTAAACAGCAGGTCTAGTGGGGCCCCACCCTGGTAGATTCATTTACCAGCTGGAGCAGGAAATTATCCTCTATACATTCCAGGGATCTCTTAGACTGCCTCCTCTCTGCCATGTTGAGCTCCCAGCAGATATCTGGCAGGGTGAAGTCGCCTACAAGAACAAGGGCTGGCGATTTTGAGACATCCACCAGCTGCTTGTAGAATAATTCATCCCTTTCATCATCCTGGTTGGGTGTCTATAACAGACTCCCATTCGGATGTCAGCCTTGTTGAACTTCTCCCTGATTCTGATCCACAGGCACTCGACCTTATCATTGGTGACCTCAAGTTCTACAGAGTCAAGGGACTCTAACATACAGAGCCACCCCTCCACCTCTCCTACCCTGCCTGTCCTTTCTGAAGAGCTTGTAGCCATCCATGGCAGCACTCCAGTCATGCAAGTCATCCCACCACATTTCTGTGATGGTAACTATGTCAGAGCTTTCCTGCTGCACGATGGCTTCCAGCTCCTCCTGTTTGTTGCCCATGCTGCATGCATTGATGTACATGCACTTCAGCTGGGCTGCTGATTTTACTCTTAACTCAAGCTTTTCATCCCTGGGCTTCTCTTTGGAGAGCGTGGATTAAACCCCTTCCCCCTTCAAACCTAGTTTAAAGCCCTCCTGATGAGCCCCGCTAACTTATGGGTTACAGTCCTTTTGCCCCTCCTAGATACATAAAGCCCATCTGATTTAAAAGACTGGGTACCGTGGAGTTTGCTCCATGGTCAAACAACCCAAAATTTTGACGGCAGCACCAATCCTTTAGCCACCTAATGATAAGGTAGGCTTTCCTACTCTTTTCCTCATTCATCTCCTCATTCATTCCAGCAAGTACAGGAACTGAGGCAAATACTACCTGTGTGCCTGTCCTCTGAACTGATCTACCCAGTGCCTTGAAATCCTTTTTGATTGCCCTGGCACTTCTTCTATTAATATCATCACTGCCAGCCTGGATTACCAACAGTGGATAGTAATCTAAGGTTCAAATTAGCTCAGGAAGTCTCTTACCTGACTTGATAATGAATAATGAATTTGATGTGATGACAAAAACCTTTACTGTGATAGGACAGGAGGCAATGGACACAAACTGAATCAAAGGAGAGTCAGTCATCTGACCATAAAGAAAGGCTCTTTTACTGTGGGAAGTTACTGTACATCAGCAAAGGTTGCCCAGAGAGCCTCCGTCCTTGGAAATACTTAGACCTCAGCTGGACATGGTCCTGGGCACCTGGCTTGTAGGGGGTGTTGCTTGAAGAGGGGAGGTGGAGTAGATGATCTCAACAGGTCCCTTCTCACCTCAGCCCTTCCATGATTCCGTGAAGATTGAAGCAACCGGGTGGATGATGCCATCTAACACACTGCAGTGTGCGTTTGTGATACCTCATGCACAGTCAAGTCTAGACTTTCTTTCTAAGAGACTAAGACTTCTTGGGTGTTCTCAGACAAATTATTCTATTGCTATTGTTGTTGTTGTTATCATTATCACTGTTAGTGTTATTATTAAATAGTGAGGGTATCTTACCCTTCCGTAACTTATCCAGATCATCCTTTTTTTCCAGATAAGATTCTTCAAACTGCAAGAAATAGAGAAGAAAAGTTCAGCTGTCGTTCCATGTTTTAGCTTCTTCCTCATTTAGACAATGAAGGCACAAAGAGCTGTGTTTGGGGCATTTTAGTTTTGAAAAAATAAATAACATTTGAAAGCTTTCTGGTGCAATGGCCATCACCATGACAAAAACTCACAGCTCACAAAAACTCACCGATCCCCACACTCCCCTCTGCTTCAATATCAGAAAGTCTTAGTGGTAAAAAAGAAAACTTTGATTTATAATGTAAAGTACCTGCAGGGGTAAGCTACACTGTAGCAGCAAAATTAGTCCTTTGCTATTTTGAACCTTGAAATTTAACTGAAGCTCTTCAGAATTGGAAGTGCTCAAGCACTGTGATCAGAAGTTAAGAAGCCAGGTTCTGCTGCTGTGGTTTTAATTGTTTCTTTCACTAGCTACAGGGGAGAGGCATCTGTGGTGCTACCAGTAGGCCTGGCACAAGATGCGTGCAAGTGAGACAGGAACTTGCCTCCTGCTTAGGGTAAGCTCAGAGTCATTGTTGGCTTGGTCAGCAATGCAGTAAATGGAAGTACTTGGAAGCTGCAGGTCAGTCAGTCAGTTAGTCACTCAGTGACATTTTTCACAGGGAACATTAAAAGTACATGTTTGTAACATGCTCTTAGTGTAAGAAAACAGAGGCAAACCTCAACTCCAGCTGCTGCCAGCAGCCACCGTATTGGTTCCATTCGGCCTCGTCCATCGAAGTAGTGCAGCTTGGGTTTCCCAGACATGTTTCCACGTGCCGGATAGTTTCTTGCTATTTGGAATAAAGAAACAGGTTTTGCAAAATAAAGATTCAGAATGCTGGGTTTAGGTCTCTAATTGGTTTCAAAATTGTCCTGTTTGAAACCAAGGATTTATGGTTCAAGACTTTCCTCAGATTAATAAAGGAGGTAGAAGTTAGACTACACTGAGGACCCCATTGTATCATCCCTCCTTGATAATATCTTTTATACATGCAGCTTAGTTAAGCAGAACTCTGTACTAAGAGCCATTGGCCCAGATCAGAGAACAAGCAAACCAAAACCATTGGAATCCAAAGTGCTCTGCTCTGACCAAAAGGCAGATTGTGCTTTCTCTTTATTTTGGCACTATCTCAACATACAGTTTACTGATTCATCAGATACACAATATTAACTCAGCAATTCCTGGGCTTTCAAGAGCTCCCTTTTTTCATCCTCCATGATAAAGGGGCAGGAAGGAATATTTTTCCCTCTTGTAAGCATTCAGTCTCTTTTATAACACTCCCTGCTCCAGTGAATTTTTAGACAAGCCGCCAAAGACACAGAAATTAATTTTGTCTCTGATAACATCAGATTTGCCTTTACCACTGGCAGAGCCAAAGGACAGTGCCCTGTTTGGACAATTCCAACTTTGCTGGAATATAAAGCAGCAACAGTTTCTAGGCGGATCACCAGCCACCCCATTTCAGAACCATGTGTGCACAGCAGTGGCAAACACGCAGACAGGGCCTGGTTTATACCACCTCCACAGTTATTAACACCGTGTCAATAATAAAGCTAAAGCATTACCTGCAGCTAAGGGGAAATGGCTAAAACCCACCATAGTCCCCTTTTAAATAACGTATCAGCTTCTGTCGTGGTTTTGCCCACCAGCCCATCCCTGGGGCTGAGGATGGTTTTTTCCAGGTAATTTCCGAACAAAAAGGCCAATCAAAAGTCCAGTAACGCCTTTGCTAATTACATCTTCAAGAAAACGGAAGAGAAGGTTGTTGGCGCAGTTGAAATTAGTAGCAGCAGCCATGTAGGGGAAAAGAATAGCGGGCCCAAGCAGGGCCAGACTCCCTCCCCCCCGGCTTGGGCCGGGGTGGGGGGAGTAGGTGCAGCACTGAAGTCCTCCCTTCTCTCTTGTACAAGAGTGAAGAAGAAAAAAAGTTTGAAAGATGAACTGTTTGAACAGAAACAGCTGTGGAAGAATTCCAGCTGAAAGATAACGGAGCTTCCAAGGTCGAAGCTGGCAAGCAGCAAGAAAAGTGCGAAAGGGGGGGCTTGTTTCCCCCCTGCCTTTTCGCTCTCTCTCCTCAGCAGGGAAAAGACTGAGAAATAATCCCTGCTACTTGTAAAAGCTTGCTGGAGTAAGGAGACCCCCCATGCAGCTGACAGAAGAGTCTGTGAATGTACCAAAGAGAACCGAGACTTCATGAGAAGGACTGAAGTGAGGCAGAGTCCTGGTGGAAATTTGTGACCCTGAGGGAAACCTGTGCTGGAGCAGTGACGACTCAGGTGGAATACTGGGATCCGTGTGTGTGTGGATCTATACTACTGTTGAAGATTTTGTAACCCTGAGAAAATCTCATGCTGGAGCGAGACGGCCCATGTGAGATGTTGGGATCCGTGCGTGTGTGGATCCGTGCTAGACCCATGCCGAGAAGTCTATCAAGGACTGTTCTCCCATGGGGAGGGACCTCCATAGGGAAACAGGGGTGAACTCTTAAGCCATTATCCCCTGTAACTCTGTGGAAGAAGATCCATAGTAAGCAAGTGTCCCCTTGCAAGCCTATGGAAGGAAGACCCTTCAAGACCTGGGTAACCCCCAGCCTTCGGTCTTAGCCCAGGAGGGAGGTAAGCCCAGCCCTGGAAGCTAACACAGAGCAAGAAGGAGAGAGAAGAAGTTCCAACTGCAATGAAAATACTGCTGCTGCTGAAGATCTGTTGCTAGAGGGAGAGAACTGGAACTCCAAAAATACAGAGTGGGACTACTTCTTCTCCTTGGACTAGTATAAAAGGGAAGAAGTACTTCTGTAAATATATAACACTTCAACTTGAGTAGAAATTGTTATAGATATAGTTCTTTAGTTTTTAATTTATTAGTAATTTTTACTTTACTAGTAATAAATGTTTATACTATTTTTC